ATAAATAAATAAATAAATAAATAAATAAATGAATGAATGAATGAATGAATAAATAAACAAATAAACAAATAAATAAATAATCATACCTTTGCTAAAGGTAGGGAAGGTACATGTCTCCACTTTTCTCAGGCAATGATGTCTTCCCACAGTTCATTGAGGATTTTGGATTTTGTTATTCATGTGAACTTCATTGGCTATCTTTGTGTAATTATTAAATCCTAATATCTAGAGTTAGATTTCAAAGTTGCAATGAGAGGGATCACACTTCCAGATCATGATAGGATTATAGCCTGCAAGAGGTTATTTGTCGTTCCTCCACATATTGACACTTATTTTGTCACTGCTTGGCAACTCACGCCATACTAAAGAGGGAACTTCTATATCATCTTGTCTTGCTGAGGCAGATGTGATGCAAAATGACTCACAGGATAATGTCATTTGGCTTATAGGCTCAGACTTCATGAAGAAAAGATCATTAAAGATCGTAGGCATCACTTGAAAACCTATCCTAACTGCTTTGTTGCCAAAGAACTGATTGATTGGCTGATAGATCACAAGGAGGCCTCGGATAGGGAGACCGCAATTAAGCTCATGCAAAAATTACTGGACCGCAGCGTTATCCACCACGGTAAGTAGAAAGCATAACCATGTTTAAACTGAAACTATAGATAGGGCATTGGGACCGGGCTGAAGATATACTGGAGAAGAAAGAGTCAGGTACCGCAAGTCCAGTATGAAACAATAAGCACTAGAACACAAGAAGGATCTATCAAAGGAATGGGGAGGTAGACAGTTTCCTCTCTGAATATGGTCCCTTGTAAAGCACATGTATACAAGAAATGAGGAAGGTTTAAAGAGACAAGAAGGGTTTAGAACAGAGATAAAACATAATTTGCAACAATTAGCACAGGAGATGGTGAAATTTTCAGTAAACAATCACTAGATGATAGGTAAAGGTTCCCCTTGACATTTAGTCCAGTTGTGTCCGACTCTAAGGCACAGTGCTCATCCTTGCCTCCAAGCCGCAGAGGCAGCGTTTTGTCCATAGACAGTTTCTGTGGTCACATGGCCAGCTCCATTACCTTCCCACTGTGGTGGTTCCTATTTATCTACTCACATTTCCATGCTTTTGAACTGCGAGGTTGCCAGGAGCTGGGACAAGCGACGGGAGCTCACTCTGTCGCGTGGATTCGACCTTACGACTGCTGGTCTTCCGACCCTGCAGCACAGAGGCTTCTGCGATTTAAATATTGTTTTCAAGGAAAAACAAAGAAGCCATAGCTATAGCAGTAATACAAGCTGAGAAGGAGGCATCAAATATAAGAGCCAGATTTTTAACTTCTGGAGGTTACAGTGAGGTTTACAATGGCAAAGGGAGAAAGCTGTTTGTGTTTACTGAGAAACAGAGAAAAATCTGTTGTTCACATATTTAGTTCGGAAATAATGATCCAACACTCAAACAGGAAGACAATTGGAAACATCAGAAAGCAGAAAAGATGAATGGAAAGGAAAAAAGAGCCAAGTTATGATCAGTGTGACAATGATCTTAAAGGCCAGAAAGAAAGGAATAAAAATGTGACAAGAAAAATAGTAACGATGAGGAATGTGAACGAAAGAGAAAGAAAAGGAATCATGGTCTGGGTCCCATCCAGAACCAAGTTGTCACAAAGGTCTAGGGAATTCTGTGAATTCTGTATTTTCCTGCTTTCTGGGGGAACATTTGCCCCCTTTTCTTAAACAAGCCTTTGCTTAAAAACTTAAGAGTCAAAAGAGACACTAAGGGGAGTACAGTACTTGTTTCCGGTGATGAATAAATTTTCCCCTTCAGCAATGGGGTTTCCTTACAGATGCAAGTCTTAGCAATCAGCCGTGCAAATTCAAATGGGCCAATTATAGTTGCAATTTAGCATAGTAAGCTGCAACCAGGCCAATTTGAACCTAAGGAATCCATGGAGGAATTGACTCACCAAATCCCCACTGATCTAATAGGACTGCTGTCGTTCGACTTACTAAACTAAGCAATGGGATTTTCACCAAAGTCTAATGGTAAGTCCAGCCCTGAAGTAGACCTCGGTTTGCCTGCCATAAAAACCAAGCATATTTGGCACAAACTTGCAAACCCAGATCTAAGTACAAGGGAAGGGAGTGTGCAAACATTGTCCTTACTGTGTAGCATTAAACTATGATTTGGCATTATGTCTGAACTATAGAAGTAGATTTTTTCTTCTCTCGTCCTTTCCTGATATTTTCCAATGCTATCAACTTATCTTTTTTTCAAAATCGCACAAAACTATAATAGTTGCTACCTCGTTGCATGGACCTTTTAAAATTAGAAGCATCGGATGGGTTATCCATGTCTTTTCAAATGGTCATGGAATCCTTCTGTGCTTGCTGTGTGTGCTTCATTTCTTAAAGAGAAAGGACAGTAGGTTTGCACGGATTGGTTCAGAGACATTTTGTGCATATTACAGAAACCTTGCTGAGGGGGGAAAGGTCTTCCTGTCTCACATTTATACAGGAGAGGAGGAACCTCACAACATTCCTCACCCATATATGTAATCATATAGAGCCAGCCTAAATAAACGAGAACAGGGAATAGGATGGCCATTCTTCACATCCCAAGTCACTCATTCATAGGGTCTCCATAAGTCACATTTTAATGGCGTATAACAATAGAGTGAATTGCATATAAATGGGTGAAAGTGTATTTGAACAAGTGTTGCATGCTTGAAATTTGTAACCTAAGAGTAGTAGGTTGATTGAGAGAGACAAACAGAGCACATCAAATTACTCAGCCGGCTCAGACCAAGGGTACATTCAACCCAGGGTTGGCAACCTGCTGGCTAAGGATGGCAGGAAGCCCTTTCAGGTGAGGAACACGTAGAAGGACAGCAAGGGAGATGTCCTTGAAAACAAAAAAATGGATAAATTGATGAAAGGAGGGAAGATGGCAAAGCTTCAGTAAAGAAGGACTGGAAGGGTCAAAATGTACTTGATGGTGCATAACAACAATGGAGTGAATTGCAGGATAGAAAGCACAAAGCCACATGTATCAGAAGCAGACTTTATACTCTGTCGTACTTGATCCAGAATAGCTAAAACCCCATAGTTTAATCACCCTGACTTGTGCAGACATCACAGAGTGATCTGCCTTAAGTAAACTATAGTAAATTATGTCTCGTGTTATGTCAAGATATCCAGATAAACCAGTAAAACAGTCATATGCCTTATTTTATTGAGCACAGCCCTGTTTTTCACCATTCTTCGCATCCCAAATCTGAATTGACCTGCTTTTATATATTTCCTGTCATGATCCAGTCACTCTTTCTTAGCTTATACTATCTTACAGGACTGTTAACATTTTGATAACAAAATTTAAAAGTTAAAATTTGAGGGGGAGAACTATGGATATTTCCCAGGCTTCCTATCGGCATATGTTTGGGCACTGTTGGGAATAAAATGCTGGACTAAATAGGCATTTGATCTGATCAAACAGGGCCATTATGTTCTAATAAATGGAAAGAACAAAAACCAATTGTGAGAGGGAGGCTAGAAACCTTTCTGCGTGTTTGCAAGTCCAGTATTGTAATGGGGGAAATTCTGCTGCTATTTTGCATTTGCTTTGCTTTTGAGTCGATAGAGATAATTGGCTGGAAACTTAACCTCTTCCTACGAACTGCTTAGCATTCTGATTTCCTCTTTTTTTCCTTTCAGTTTGCGATGAGCATAAGGAGTTCAAAGATCTCAAACTTTTCTACCGCTTTAGGAAAGATGATGGAACCTTCCCCCTGGACAACGAAGTGAAAGCCTTCCTGAGAGGACAGAGGATCTACGAAAAGTATGTGGCTCACAACGTGTCGAATGCGAGAGTTGTTGTTTATCATTTATTGTCACTCCCTTTATTTCTGTTGAGCAAACCTTAGAGGATCAAAATAGCTCTGTTTATGAACAAAAAGGAAGTATCACACAAGCTTGGTGGAAACTTCTTTTGCCTTCCCCTTTTTTCCAGCATGATTGGTTTTTTTCCCAGAGAATCCTACCTTTTCATGTTGTGCCCAGAGTAAGTCAGTTCCATCATTTTTACCTCCAGAAATTGTTCAGACTTGATTTGCTCTAGGACCTACTTGTTCATCTTCCTGGTGGTCCAGCGTCTCCACAAAGCAGTCCACCAGCACCACATTTCAAATGAATTTAATTTCCCCCCGTCAGCTTTCTTAACTGTTTGTAGATACTATTGGCAAATCTGTTACACCGTCCATGCCTGCCCAGAAAGTAGTCAGCTGGCTTCTGATCTTTTCTCATCAAACTGCCCAAGAAGGACTGAATGTGCTTAATGACCACAGATTAGGGACTGTGGAGGAAGAAGAAACCACGAAACCAGGCAGAGGGTATGGAACAGAACAGAAGCACTTCATGCTACAATATTTGGTTGCAGGTCCCACTGTTTGACTTATATTTACATATAGCTAGGAAAATAGTGTTACTGCGTTCAGGTGTTCGTCTTTGATTACACTTCTCTTCATTCTCATCATCTTCAGTCTCAAGATCATTATTTAGTTAAAGAGGTTGAGGGAGATGGCTCCAGAGAGTTCCAGAGAGTGCATTTAATCAATATTTGAAACAGATGGTTGTGTGGAAATACTGAATATCCTACCAGATTATGTGGGTCAACTAATGGAAAAGTTAAGCCATCTTCTAGTATAGCTCATGTCTTTTTTTAAATATATGTTTTTTAAAAAATTTGCTCAGGCTGTGGGAGATTGGTTGTGACATGGACTTATCAGGCAAGGGAGCGATGAATAAAAATTCATGTGGTGCCATTTACTAGCATTTACCAAAAGGTGAACAGGTACGTTAGTGGGCAAATAAAATGTCAAGAAGCACATTAGCCTATTTAAGATGCAAATCACTGGGTGAGATTTTTTTTTCATAGTCTGCAGCTGATATTATTCCCATATAAATGTTAAGTCTGTATTGGGAAGCGGATTGAGGAAAAGGCTTAAAAGGAGCACATGGAACAGAAGTCCAGAACAAATTGCTATATGTATTAGCATTTGGGAAATATAACTTAGATCCAATGTGTGTGTGTATCCCTAAAGTGTGTTTTTTTCTAAAGGAAGAAAGGCTAACGTTGGTTCTCCAATTGGTTTTGAATGATAGTTTCCACTCTTTCTCACTATCTGCTACACTGTTGTTGTTATGCGCCATCAAGTCATCTCTAGTCTATGATGATCCTATGAATGACCGATCTCCAAAATGGCCTGACCTCAACAGACCTGCACAGTTCTTGCAAACTCAAGATTGTGGCTTCCTTATGGAACCAATCCATCTCTTACCGGTCTTTTATTTTCCCCAGCATTATTGTCTTTAATAGCCTTCTCGTGATGTGCCCAAAGTACAACAGCCGCAGTTTCATAGTATTTGCTATGCAGCCTAGGACTAATTGAAGTTGCAGGGGGGGAAAAAAACCAAGGAAGGCTTCAGTTGCTTATCCCTGCCCTAAAGACTTGAAAGTGGTTCAACTGAAACATTGTTGATGCACAGTATTCCTCCCCACCTCCAATCCTTTATCATCTCTTATCAAGTACGTTTTGCAGACTTTTCTAATGCTTTGAATAACTGCAAAACCTGTCTGACAAGAAGTGATAATGGTACAAGAAAGAGAGAGAGAGATTACTGCCTGAGACATATCTATGAATCATCATCATCACGTGCTGTCAAGTCAATTCTGATTTATGGCAACCCTTTCCAGAGTTTTCCAGGTACAGAATGCTCCGAAGTTGTTTACCATTCCTGCCTTCTGGAGGCATCCCAGGATTGTGCAGCTTGCCCAAGGCCACCCAGGCTGGCTCTTGTTTCTGGAGGCAGAAGCCAACCTCTGGTTCCACAGCCAGATACCGAAACTGCTCAGCTGTCCAATCAATTCAAGACATCTATATCTATATCTCGGGCAGTAATAGTTGCTGAACACTCTGACGGTGCTCGTAAAGACATGCCCGTCTCCAGGGCTGACCTGTTTCCATTTCTCATTCTTGCCTGCAGAGAAAATCAGTACAAAAAAAGCCAAAAGCCTAGAATCAATAAGAAACTCTTTCAGTGGTTGTTGTGGGTTTTCCGGGCTGTTCGGCCGTGTTTTTAAGGTTTTTCTTCCGAACGTTTTGCCAGTCTCTTTCAGCTTTATTGCAGGCCACATTAAATAGTTTTTTTAAAAACATCATGAGGATAACAGGGAGTCTCTAGCTGTAAGTTCAAAGAGCTAGAGAAGCAGCCATTTGATCTGGTGTTTTGTTTTTCAGTAGTCCCCCATTCCACTGCTGAACCCTGCTCAACCATGGGTGCTCTTCAGATTGTATGTACTTAACCCTCTCAGTAGTTAATTCATAAATGCCATTATATCTAAGCAGCATTCTGGCTCTAAGGGTCAAACTAAGAGCACTTAATGAGAAGAGGAAATTCCTTAAGTGCTGGAAATGCCCGATTCTCACGAGAGGAAACTTTGACACACTCCACATAGTTGTGGTAGAATTGGGGAGAGTGGTAATCCATGAGCATAGCCTTGAGGTCATTGGGGGAAATGGGATAGAAATTAAACAATTAAACAAATGACTACTCTCCCGGTCACCTGTGGTAATTAAACAGCTCCTTCAGCTAAAGAAAAAACCCTTGATATGCTGGAAATGCTTCAGGATTGCTCTGAGATTGGGACAGTTAGATTCATATCATTTTCCATTGATTGCATGATGTGCAGAAGCCGCTTTCTGAGATAGCAGGTTTTGCGTATCATGAAACAACAATTAACTTGTTCATTATTGTCACTTTACTGCATATGTATTTTTACTCCCAAAGACAGAGAGAGATATTCATATTCAAAACAAAAGAAAAAGAAAAAACTAAAACCATGTCTGGCTTTGCAAACAATGTGCTGCGTTTTTTACCGCAGAAGCCTCTGTGCTGCAAGGTCAGAAGACCAGCCGTTGTAACATCGAATCCACGTGTCAGAGTGAGCTCCCATTGCTTGTCCCAGCTCCTGCCAACCTAGCAGTTTAAAAGCATGTAAAATGCAAGTGGATAAATAGGTACCACCTCGGTGGGAAGGTAACAGCGTTCCGTGTCTATGCGCGCTGGCCACATGACCACGGAAACTGTCTTCGGACAAGCGCTGGCTCTACAGCTTGAAAAACGCTACAGCTTGAGCACTGCCCCCTAGAGTCGGACACGACTGGACTAAAAACGTCAAGGGGAACCTTTACCTTTACCTTGACTTGGTGGGTAAGTGGGGGTTGGGGAACCATTGACTGCTCTGCTTCAGGCAACAAACTATCTTGAGTCAGCTTTAGGTCCAAGTCTATCCACTTTGCTTGCTTGTTTGTTTGCCTGCCTGCCTGCAGTTTCATTTAATGGTAGCCAGGAAAACAATCTATTCTTCATTTCCGAATGCCAAGACACAGCAAATGGGAGGTCATGCTGTGCTTTCAGTACACGAATGTAATACCACAGAAATATTATTTCTTTCAGAAATAGTGGGGAGGTGCACAGTTTTAATGGCTGTGGTCGAAATGAAATGTTCCAGCTTGGAATTCAGCCTAAAAGCAATGAGGAAAAGGGCCTCGGCCCGGAAATACAGCTAGATTCTTCAGAAGCTCTCTACTCCAGTATGTTTAATGAGAAATAGCTTGTTAATTATTATACTCTGATTAGTTTGTAGCAACGGCACTCCTTTTTAATAGAAGGCAAGGATTCTATTATTGTTTTCTCCATACATTTCAGAACCAGCCAAATTCTTCAGCAAAGAAGCATGATCTCTGTGCTTGGAATGCAAACATGGGTATTACCTCACTGTTCATTTAATTCATCGGAATTAATATGATTGCAGTTCGTTTAATTCAGTGTGAATTAACTGAGGGTTGCTTCCAGCTGGATGTTGCCTGCAGCAACTGTTCCAAAGCAGGGAGGTGATGTGGAAATCTGGCTGTCTGGTTCGCAGTTTGTTCTCAGTATCCTACCATCCGGCTCATTTCACATCAAGTTGCAATTTTTCCCCCCTCATGGAAATGTACATCGCTCAGAAACATTACTTGTTTGGAATACAGCTCCCTAAATCCCCCAGTTGCTGGCTTGCTGGCTGGGGGATTCTGGGAATTGTTGACTAACTTTTCGTACTCTGCAAAAATTATTGGAGGTGTGTGTGTTTTTAACTTCGGAGTGAGTGTCTTTCTGTCCAGTGCTGTCTGTCTCTTCGTTCCTTCCAGCCTTTGCATTCAAAGAGAGGCCCATCTCTCTGCTGAGTATGCATTCTCCTCTTTTCCCTTGGTTGAAGGCAACCAGTTGTGCAGTAAGGAAAGCAGCGTGCACTGGTCTGTAATTTCTAGCAATTGTTAGTAAAGAAAAAAAAATTTGAGCCATTGAGACTTTTCAGCACCATTTAATGAGAAAGGGGTGGACTCTGTGGAAATTGAAGCTATTCCTCTCCCACTGACTCTCCCCTTATAGTTCAGAGGAGGGAAAATATAAGGCAGGGGAAGAAAAATGTTATCTCAAGCAAAAAAAAGACACACCCCACACCTTCAAAAAAGGGGAAAGGGGGAAGCAAATAGAAATATCTTTCCTTCCTCTAAGAGCTCCATCCTGTTATGCTCCAGAGTGTCTGACATAAGGCAGGAGTTCTACCCCTGCTGTAGGAAGTCCAAGAAGAGGGAATCCCACCACAGAGATAAAATTACGGTTGTTTCAAGATGGTTGGGGCCACTGGGTTTGGATTCCATCCCAGTGGCCAGTTCTCAAAACCAGTCCATGGCTTTTTCCAAATGCCACGATCAGTTCTTCTTCATTCTTACAAAAACCTAAATCACGTTGGAACGTCATTGTGATGGGAAAGAAGCCGCCTCTGTGTCTTAACGCTGGGGGAGACACAACGTGACTCTTTGTGGTCGCCTAGAGTGGTCGCAATGACCAGATAGGCGGGGTATAAATTAAATAAATAAATAAATACTCAGAGCACATCACATACACACCCTGAATGTAAGCCATGTCGACACACAAACAATCAAATTACATATGACATTAAACACACACTTTGGCACTGACTGTATCTTTTCACAACAGCAATAGCCGCTGTGGGCAGCCTAGTCAGGATCAAGTCCAGGAGTAGACATTGTCTAGAGGGGTGGGGTAATAAGTCTAATAATAAAATAAACAAAATTAAAATCCTGCCCTCCTTCCACTTTGGAATTGCCACTCTAGATCTGCTGTTTGTTTGTTTAAAATAAATTTACCCCACCTTTCTCCTTAAAAGGACCCAAGGTAGCTTACATCATTAAAAGACAATATAGTAGTACCTCGGTTTATGATCGTCTTGGTTAATGTAATTTTTGGTTTACGAAGGATAATCCATTGAAAATAATGTCTTGGTTTTGTTTTGTTTTTTTCAGTACGAAGCAAGTTTCCCCAGGATGTATTGTACCTAGAGGTTTGTAGTGCAGACCTCGTTCCTAAGGCAATCCGCGTTTCGGTTTATGAATTTTTCACATTATGTAACATCCTGGAGAACGCATTAATTTCATAAACCGAGGTATTCACAACAGTGAGTGTTATGAATTTTTCACATTATGTAACATCCCGGAGAAGGCATTAATTTCATAAACTGAAGTATTCACAACAGTGAGTTCAAAAATACTTTTAAAAGGATCAAACAAATACCACAGAGAGAGAGAGAGAGAAACCCCATAAGCAACACCAAAACACATTCAAAGCAGTAAAGTACAACTATCCATTTGAAAAACCCATTCAGGCAGCTGGTCACTCAGGGAAAGCCTGCCTGAAGGGAAAAATCTTCACCTGCTTATTGAAGGATTGCTTTTATTGAATAAGATGTTCCTGATGGTGCCCATGGAATAAAAATGGTCAGTGGTCTATTTTATAGTGCTTGTATTTTGCCCCTTCTCCTCCCCCCACACTATTCAGAATGATAGGCAGATCCTTAGTAGTTTTAATTACTGGCTTGATTTGTTTACTGGCCTTGAATCAGAACGAAAAATCCCTAATCTGGGCCTTGCTTTGGTTCCCCTGTTGCCATGGCAAAATCATGCATGCTTGAATAGCTAAAGATTAAACTCTATTTACCCCGGTGTTGATGTGTCTATTGCTCGGCTGTGACCCTACCAAAATAAAACACAGACCATGGGGGGAAAACACTTTTTAATAACTTTTATGGGATTTACGTGTCACTTTTTAGTAGAATTCTTGGAGAAATTCATTTCATTGGCATTATAATGCAATTATATCTAATTCGTAGTTTCCCAAGCCAACATATGAACTGCAATGGACTTATCTTTTGCTCCCCATATTTTTAAAAAGTTTTGCATTTCTCTGTTAGAAACTCGTGTATGAGAATGAGGAAGATGACATTTTCTCCTCCTTCTCAGTTGTTTATATTTCCTTAGCGCAAACAAATCAACCTACCAAAGTGTATACTTGAGAGAAAGTTGTGTACAATTCTTAACGGGGGTCACTGTACACAGAACCACCTACATTTTTTTTGTCTGCAGTTTTAAAAAAATCCACATAAACATCTTAATGGAAACCTGTGCTTGAACAAATGTGAATGTCATAGAAAGTGCCGGTGGGTACATGTGTCCGTCTCTACCTTCTACAATTACTTGGCTGCTGTAAATACAATTAACACCTTTCCATTCCTTGTTAAGGTCAGATCCCTCCTTAACTCCCAGAACATTAGCCACAATTAGCTGATGCAAGTTATGCAAAGCTTAGGCAAACACCAATAGGATTCCAGCCAGTTGGAGAGGGCAGAGTTCCCATGATGTAGCAAAATGCAACCACCTTTTCTCACACTGGTGGGCATATTTGGATGTACATATACATTGTGTCTGATCATTGATGGTGCACATATAGAATGATAGCACATATAGAATGATAGCACTTTTCATATATTTGAAAGGCTGTCATACAGAGGAGGGGTAAGATCTATTCCCAATCATCCCAGAGTGTAGGACATGCAACAATAGGCTGATTTCAGTTGAATATCAGGAAAAACTTCCTAACTGTTAGAGCAGTATGATAGTGGAACCAGTTAACTCAGGAGTTGGTGAGTGCTGCCATACTGGAGGCATTCAAGGAAAACTTAATCACCTGGCAGATATACTTTGACTGTATTCATGCATTGAGCAGGGGATTGGACTTGATGGCCTTGTAGGCCCCTTCCAGCTTCACTTTTCTATGATTCTATGAATGTATGCAGCTTTTTACTTGGAAATGTTAGCCATATAAAATGTCTAGAGGAAGTAATTTTGAACTTTGAAGTCTGGTGTAAGATTTTGAACCAGGAACCATTGTTATATCAAGTGTGTTATTATTGTTATGTGCCTTCATGTAGGAACTGACTTATAGTGACCTTAACTGGGAATTTCAAGGTATGTTAGATATTTAAGGAATGATTTTACTAGTTTCACATCCCCAGTGAGTTTCCATGGCTGAGCAGGGATTCAAACCCAGGCCTTCTGAGTCCTGGTCCAATAGTCTATCCTCTACACCAAGTACTTGGATATTCTTACCAACTATGAACTGCAACTCCCAGAAACCCCAGCCAGCACAGTTGGTGGTGAAGGTTTCTGGGAGTTGCAGTCCACAACTCCTGAGTAAGCCAAGGTTAAGAACCAGTGCTCTACACCAAGTACTTGCATGTTCTTACCAAGTACATACTCTTCTATTAATCTATGCCCTTATCCCAGTGAGGGGGAAGACCAAGATGGGAGAACTGTGTGTAGTTCATTCTTCTGTGGTGCTATTGCTTGGACACCTACATGCAGAGCATATTTCTCAGACACACATTGAGGTCCCTGCTCATCCTGGAGAGCATACACGTTGCTTTAGTAATCTTTTTTTTTTTCAGTGCTTTTAAGTCTTAAATTAATGGAATCACTTGGTTGGCGTATAGTTCCGCATAGCGACGAATCCACATAGCGACGATTTTTCCAGAACGGATTATTGTCGCTATGCGGGGCACCACTGTAGTCTTCTATTCATTTATGCCCTTCACCCAGTTGTGAGGGGGAAGACCAAGATTGGAGAACTATGTGTAGTTAATTCTTCTATGGTGCTATGGCTTGGACACTTACATGCAGAACATGTCTTCTGACACACGTCGAGGTCCCTGCTCATCCTGGCGAGCATGCACATTGCTTTAGTAATCTTTTTTCCCCCAGTGCTTTTATGTCTTAACTTAATGGATTCACTTGTTTGGCATATGCATTTGGTCCTTCCCTGGGCAAAGTTGAAGAAACACTGGATTAGAACCTAAAGTGTTTTTTTTCTGCATTTAACTAGCAAGTTACTGCTTTCCCTTTGTCATCTCTTCTTTCATTGCAGGCTAATGAATACTGAAAATGCACTTTTACAAGCTAGAGAAGAGGAAGGAATAAAATATGAACGTACTTTCATGGCGTCTCAGTTGATTGATTGGTTGATCCAGGAAGGAGAGGCCACCACAAGGTCTGAGGCTGAACAACTTGGGCGTCGGCTGCTGGAACATGGAATCATGCAGCATGGTAAGACGCCGGCTCGGTTTCAGACTAGAGGCGAACGATCTCATAATGCAAGTACCTATTTTGTCCTGCATTGTTTGATCCAAAGGTTTATTCTGTTGAGGGCCCCATTTCTTCAGGGCTAATTTGCAGGCTAATGAATACTGAAAATGCACTTTTACAAGCTAGAGAAGAGGAAGGAATAAAATATGAACGTACTTTCATGGCGTCTCAGTTGATTGATTGGTTGATCCAGGAAGGAGAGGCCACCACAAGGTCTGAGGCTGAACAACTTGGGCGTCGGCTGCTGGAACATGGAATCATGCAGCATGGTAAGACGCCGGCTCGGTTTCGGACTAGAGGCGAACGATCTCATAATGCAAGTACCTATTTTATCATGTGTTGTTTGATCCAAAGGTTTATTCTGTTGTGGGACCCATTTCTTCAGGGCTAATTTGCTAGGTATTTTTAAGAAACAACTAAAAACACTGATGTACAGGCAGGCCTTCCCAACAGAAAACCCTTGACGATTCTTTTTTCTAATTCGTTCTCTATCTTTACTATGTCCTACCTATAATGTTGTAAAAATTATAATATTGTTTTTACTGTAAGCCGCCTAGAGTGGTCGAATGCGATCAGATAGGCAGGATAGAAATAAAATAAATAAATAAATAATAAATAGGGACCACGTAATTTAGGGGATTTATTTCTTAAACAATTTCTAACCTAGTTTACAGCCATAGATCTGACAGCAGGGTCCAGTCAATTGAATTCTAGCAGTAGTTAAGGTCAAAGGCAAAAAGATGTTTCTTCCTCCAGAACCCCATCTTCTCCAGAGCTTGGAGCAGCAGGTTATTGAAAAGCTTAATCTATTACCCCATCGTCAGCGTTGTCTCCCTGATTCGGACAGTCAGTGGCTGTGATCTCATTTTGTTTTCCTTGCAACACCTGCAGTCTTCCTGCAGTCTTCAGAGTTGTAGTGTTTTTATATATAGGAAACTGTGTGAATCAGGGTCCATGCAGAGGCACTGCTAGGGTGGGACATGGCAGTCAAGTGGACTCCCATCTGCACAACCCATTTTCTAGGGAACATTAAAAGAGAGCTTGAAAAAATTCCACTTTTGGACGATGGCTCCCAGAATCCCTGAGACAGCAGGGCCATCGAGGATTCTGGGAGTCATGGAAAGAAAAGAAGTTTTCCATGCTCTACATTAAAGCCGAATGAAATGTTAGGACAGTGGGATGTGATTTTCAGCACTGGCTTTGATCCAGAGGAACACTGTTAATGGAATGTCTGGATTATAAACATCAGACGGAGCAAAGACTACTCAACTGCTGCCATTATTCTTGAAGCATATTTGCAGATGCCAGATGAGGTCTGAAGACTAGAAAGTCTTCAAAAGAAGTAGGGAATAGTTTTCTGCCATATCATCTGTTTTCCGTTGTGTAGTATTTATGCTCAGCTAGAAGGAAAATTGGAAGTGAAACCTCCTCCTGCTGGTGTATTTAGCAGGAACTGAATGATACAATTGTGTGTGAAGAATCAGAGATGTACATTTCATGTGGGGTTAAAAAAACTAAGCCGCTCAGCTAGAAGGAAAATTGGAAGTGAAATCTCCTCCTGCTGGTGTATTTAGCAGGAAGTGAATGATGCAATTGTTGTGTGTGAAGAATCAGAGACGTACATTTCATGTGGTGTTAAAAAAAACTAAGCTCTGAGTTCTTAATATGTGTTCTTCTACAATTTATATGTGCAATGAATAAGTAGATAAATAAACATTAGTATGTAATCGTGACCAATTGTGCGTTGTTAGAACGTTCACAAACCTGATGGACAAAACAAGAGACATACAGCATCAAACAGCTGCAGTATTTTCCATTAATGATGACCCATTTAATGTGATGTTTTCCTTGAAAGCTTTTTTAAACAATCTGTGAAGAGGAAGAAAATGAATGTGATTCAGACATTTATTGTTTCAGACCAAGTTTGAAAATAATATAGCCACAGCTCGTGGGAGTGTCTGGAGAGTGTAGGGCAAAAGAGATGCTTCTTCCTAGTTTGAAATCCTAAATTTCTTTTATTATTCTAATGTATACACACAAGTGGGGGACGTGGTGGTGCTGCGGGTTAAACTGCAGAAGCCTCTGTGCTGCAAGGTCAGAAGACCAGCAGTTCTAAGATCACATCCATGTAACGGAGTAAGCTCCCGTTGCTTGTCCCAGCTCCTAGCCAATCGAAAGCAAGTAAATGTGAGTAGATAAATAGGTACCACCTCAGTGGGAAGGTAATGGCATTCCGTGTCTAGTCGTGCATGCCACATGACCACGGAAACTGTCTTCAGACAAACACTGGCTCTACGGCTTGGAGACGGGTATGAGTAGCATCTGGCTCTACGGCTTGGAGACAGGTATGAGTAGCACCCCATAGAGTCGGACATGACTGGACTAAATGTCAAGGGAAACCTTTATACACACAAGTGCAAGAGTTCGTGCATATACCGTGTGTGCAAATAATGTGCTACCGTGTTTTCCCGAAAATAAGACAGGGTCTTATATTAATTTTTACTCCAAAAATGCATTAGGGCTTATTTTCAGGGGATGGGGTTTTTTCATGTACAATAATCTACATTTATTCAAATACAGTCATGTCATCTTCTTCTGGTTGCTGCCCAAGGGTGGAGGGCAGGGTTTCCCTTAACTGGGGTGACAAATAATGTGCTACCGTGTTTTCCCGAAAATAAGACAGGGTCTTATATTAATTTTTACTCCAAAAATGCATTAGGGCTTATTTTCAGGGGATGGGGTTTTTTCATGTACAATAATCTACATTTATTCAAATACAGTCATGTCATCTTCTTCTGGTTGCTGCCCAAGGGTGGAGGGCAAGGTTTCCCTTAACTGGGGCAAATTTTGGGGTAGCTTATATTATGAACATCCTGAAAAATCATACTAGGGCTTATTTTCAGGTTAGGTCTTATTTTCGGGGAAACAAGGTATATCCTGTGTTTGCAAATTAGGCTGACAAATCAGTATGCAGCTTTTTCACACACAACCTAGAAGATATTTGGTAGATAACATTTGATGGCTGAGATTCCCAGGCTCTTTATAGAGGCACTTATATTCTATATGTTTGGGGGTGAAGGGAGATGAATCTTGGTTTAGGAGGCATACATAGAGCTACGGCGTCTCGGGGATGAATTGCTTCCTGGCGCTTTCCCCTGTGCACGTCCAAGGTGTTCCATAAATATCATGATTAGAATATTTCTACACTGTTAAAGGTGGGATATTTTATAGTAAGAAAAGCCCAAAAGGTATTGCAAGTAAGCCCATCACTATAAATATCATACCAAAACGGAGGTCTTATTTATTCAGACTTAATAAGATTATATAGTTCATTGAGATGGAGCGTCTGGTTTTGGAGACAGAGGGGCTGATGTCTGAAGTCTGATTGGGCCCCCCAGGAGAGGAGCCAGTGAAGATCACCCAGAACATATATGGTTGATAGGTTAAGTCATGTGGTAATTATTACTCTGTAATAAGTCCTGCCAGCTATGCATCCTGCACAGTCTCAGAGCACCACCAGAAGCAGAGACTGGTAAACCTCTTCTGAGTCTTTTGTACCTAGAGAAACCTGGAAGGGATTACCATAAGTTAGAATTGACTTGACAGCATGTAATTATTGTGTAGCTGCTTGGATAGCTCACTGGCTTAGGCATCTGGCTATGGAGCCAGCGGTTGGGGGTTCAATTCCCCACTGTGCCTCCTGGAGGAGAGCCAGCCTGTCTGGCCTTGGGCAAGCTTTATGCTCTACGTAGAAAACCCTGGAAAGAGTTGCCAGAAGTTAGAATTGACTTGACGGCACACAAAGATTAAATTTTCATTGTTGTATGACCACTGTGGGCTAAACCGCAGAAGCCTGTGCTGCAGGGTCAGAAGACCAAGCAGTCGTAAGATTGAATCCACGTGATGGAGTGAGTGTCCCAGCTCCCGCCAACCTAGCGGTTCGAAAGCATGCAAATGCAAGTAGATAAATAGGGACCACCTCGGTGGGAAGGTAACAGCGTTCCGTGTCTAAGTCGCACTGGCCATGTGACCACGGAAGATTATCTTCGAACAAAACGCTGGCTCTATGGCTTAGAAACAGGGATGAGCACCGCCCCCTAGAGTCGAACACAACTGGACAAAAATTGTCAAGGGGAACCTTTACCTTTACCTTATGACCACTTCATTCAAATTATCCTTGTCTTCTGGGATACCAGATCTTCTAAAACGTGCAGAAGCGGCATCCTTAGATCAGGACACTTTTAAGTTCTGTTATTTTGATGATGACAATGATGATGAAGATATTAGAAGTAGTTTACTCTGGCCGGACTACTACTAGTAAGGGCTTTCAACCTTATGAATGTGGGAAGATGTCTTATATCAGGTCAGACCAGAGCTTGGAAACCTTCCTGTTTTGGACTGCAACTCCTAAAACCCTCCTGTCATCATATCCCCTGTGGTCCAAAAAATAATTTTTTTCCAAGCTCTGTGAACTAAATATTTTGCACTGCACAATTATGTCAGTTTCATACCAGTTTAACGACTATAGCGCCATTTTAAGAAAATCTGGATTTTGTAGTTTTGCTAGAGAACGTTCCTCAGGATTGTGATTCTCTAGTATGAAATTCTAAGTACTTCAGCAAATTGGAGACCCTGAGACTTGTTAGGATGCAGCCAGGACTGTTAAAGTGGTTGCAAACAGAAATAATGCCATTATGCTTTCTATGTCTGTCGGTTGCAAACAGAAATAATGCCATTATGCTTTCTATGTCTGTCTAGGTGCCTCGTTGGTCAAGGACTCAGATTGAGGCATTTCTAGTCACTGCTTGTCCGATCCTTTTAAATGGGACTGGACTGGAACCTTTTCATGCCAAGTATATTTTTTGCCACTGAACTACAGGCTCTCTTGGCACAACTAAAACTCTGTTTTCTGCCCCCCCTCCCATCCTGCAGTTATTAGGCCCGGAAGGAAAAAACAAGAAATCGGGCCTTCTCGGTGGTGGCCCCTCGGCTGTGGAACACCCTCCCCACTGAAATTTGGCTGGCACCCTCGCTGGGCCTTTTCAAAAGCCAGCTGAAAACTTGGCTATTCAAGCAGGCCTTCCCTTCAGTCAATTAAGTCATTTTTATTTTTCTTCTTTTATTCTTGCCATCTTGGGACTCTTTGCTTTAAATTAACTGTTAAAATTGTAAATTTGTGATATTATATTTTATATCGTTTTGTTTTTTAATGTAAAACTGTATATTTTAAATTGTTTTCATCTTCTAAGTTGTGAGCCGCCCAGAGTAGACTATGTCTAGATGGGCGGCATATAAATGCAATAAATAAAAAAAATAAATAAATAAATAGGTGCCTCGTTGGTCAAGGACTCAGATTGAGGCACTTCTAGTCACTGCTTGCCTGATCCTTTTAAACGGGACTTAATCGGAACCTTTCCATACCAAGTACATGTTTTGCCAACAATCTGACTCTGAAAAAATAAACGTTAAGCGAAAAAAACGTTAAACGAAGCAAACGTTATGCGAGGCACCACTGTATTCAAAATGCTGAGATCACCTACTCTCTGTATAATGAAAATCAAACACCGTACGTCGTGTAATTAGAATCTTGGAACCAGGAAATGAATTGCTATGAAATGTAACATCCTCTGTAATTTTAATTTCAAAACTCTTCAGCTTAATGAAGGCCTTGAGGGGAATTGGAAAGTGCATCTGGTGCAAAGAGCCAATCATGCTGGCTCTGAAGCAGACCAGAAAGCTGAAATATTGTACTGTAAGACTGAGTGATCTTCGCTTCTCAGAAGCTTTTTAATAACTATAAAGGTTTGTGCCAATTTCAGTAGCAAATGGCGGAGAATGTAGCAATTGACCTAGATTTCACTGCAGTACGCCCTTGGCATATCCAGTTCAGGTCTTAAACAGTCAGATATGCTGATATGGCCTTGGAGAGGTTGCAAGGTAAATAACATAGTTACCTATCACTAGTTACTTGTGGGTAACAAGCAGCGTAACAAATAGTGATAACATTTCAGTAAAAATAACAGAAGTACTGAAAAATTTACATTTAAGTAAAACAAGTAGTTTTACTGCGTGGACCACAACAAACTATGGCAAGTTCTTAAAGAAATGGGAGTGCCTGAGGAACCTATACATGGGACAGGAAGCAATAGTTAAAACTGGATATAGAACAACTGATTGGTTCAAAATTGGGAAAGGAGTACGGCAATGCTGTATATTGTCTCCCTGCTTATTTAACTTATATGCAGAATACATCATGCGAAAGGCTGGACTGGATGAATCCCAAGCCAGAATTGAGATTGCCAGAAGAAATATCAACAGCCTCAGATATGCAGATGATGCCACTCTGATGGCAGAAAGTGTGGAGGAATTAAAGAACCTCTTAATGAGGGTGAAAGAGGAGAGTGCAGCTCAATATATTGATGCCTTTGAATTGTGGTGCTGGAGGGGACTCTTGAGAATCCCCTGGACTGCAAGGAGAACAAACCTATCCATTCTGAAAGAAATCCACCCTGAGTGCTCACTGGAAGGACAGATCCTGAAGCTGAGACTCCCATACTTTGGTCATCTCATGAGAAGAGGAGACTCCCTCAAAAAGCCCCTGATGTTGGGAAAGTGTGACGGCAAGAGGAGAAGGGGATGACAGAGAACGAGATGGTTGGACAGTGTCATCGAAGCAACCAACATGAACTTGACCCAACTCTGGGAGGCAGTGGAAGACATGAGGACCTGGCGTGCTCTGGTCCATCGGCTCACAAAGAGTCGGACACGACTTAACGACTAAACAACAACAACAAGTAGTATTTTCTAGTTACTTCCCAAGTTTACTTCGAGTCCTTAAGTGCCCCTTAAAGAGGTATTTTGACATGAATTTTCCCACTTTTTTTCCATTATCAGTTTCAAGGATTTTATATTTTGTATTTTAGTATTTGCAAGATGCAATATCAGAACAGGACACTAGAAGGAACCAGAGAGTATTTATTTTACCTTTATTTTTCTGGTCTGCTGGTAACAGAACACCAAATATTAATAATGCTTAGCTCAACAGATTGCTTATACAACTGAAGCAACAATGACAGTAATGAGAAACAAGGAACAAACGACTTAATAAGTAATTCAGTGAGTTTCTTTTAATAAATATTCTTCCAAATTCTGCATCCAGATTCTAATCCATACAGATTCCTACTAGCCTGCACATTCACAGATGAATGAGGAATTAAACTCATTGGGTGCCACAATCCACCTTGTGTAGTTATTATAGAATATGTTGCTTCTGGTTTTTCTGTCTCTTCTGTATGCAGAAATGATGTCACAGGAAATTCCATGTAATAATTCCCCTTAAAGGTATCTTCAAAAGTTTATGAATTATCTTAAACTAGATAAGCACAGGTGAACGTTCACAATAACCTTATGTGTCCTTGGTCCACACCAGTTAGAAAGAAACATATATCTGTCTTTGGACACAGTCACAAAATTCATCCAGGATTTTCAGCATTCCTGTGAATGCCGGTACTGTACTCCTCAATGTTTGACATTCAACATAAAGAGATCTTAGTTTTAGTTGAAGCACATTATTCTTTTTTGTAATGTGTGTGTACTTGTGTGTGAGAGAGAGAAATATAATAGTTCTGGAAGATCTAGCATATTTCTCTTTACCGTTTATTACACTGATTTTAGGAAATGAAAGTTTATCCTAATTGTCTCCCAAGGCAGGTTGGCTGAAGATACTGTATATCTCTGAAGGATTAGCATGTACTCAGGGACATTCTTGGGGTTATGCCCACCAGCTAAAATTTTCAATCCAGTTCCAGCCAGTGGCTCTCCTCCATATTTTTCTCATTTCTCTCTTACTAGCTGCTGAACATCACCATGATTATTCTTGATTTTGGATACGGCAACTGTAAATAATCATGGAATGTTGCATCCAAGCAAGTCTGCAAGGATTTTCAGAAGTCATTCGTTTTCTTTGTGAGCTCCTCCCTCCCGGCTTATTTTATTTTGGATGATCAATTGTAATTACCTGTACTCTTCAGGTCTTGTTACATGATTAAATAGACTAGCTTAGTGTATTTTATAAAGTGTATGATTTCTTCATCTTTATTCATTCACCATAGTACATCTTCGTTGGCTGCTCTCTCAGTCCAAGAAATTCTTAGTATTCGGCAATAAATCCACACGTCAAATTCTTCTGGCTTTTTTCTGTTGCTGTCAGTAGTAGCCTATGCTGAAGTCTTCCTTTCCATGCCAGGTAGTAGAACCTTCAGATTCTAACAGAAAACAAACTAAATTCTAGAAGCCTGGAGTCAGTCCTTTCAACCCCCAGTGTCACGCCCTGTTTTAAGATAGGCAGAGATTATGGTTTTTGCAAACTGTTTACCCTTGGTAATTAGCATACACATTTGGATTGGCAATGTAATTGCTTCTGAAGAGAACCTGGTATTTGTTTTCAGTATCAGTGCATGTTGTATAAAAAGGCTTGCACAATATATATTGTAAAGGGAATATTGTTCTTGGCATCAGGTACTTTCTCAAGCTTGGCACAGCACCTTGTCAGAAATAGCTGGCTTGGGAACACACCTGGTCTGAAAGTGCAACTGCTCAGGACCTTCAGAGTGTGAGGTGTAGGCAAGAACTGTAAAAGAATGCAAGTAATATATCAAGGACTATCCTGACTTGCCTACACCTATCCTGACTTATCAGACTTGATCTAAATAACCGAGTCCAGGTTCTGTGATCTTGTCAATCCAGGTCACTGATGTAGCAAAGGAGGAAATACAGGTCTGGAACGATTTTCATATTAACAGAGTTTTGATGTTATCTCCTGGAGGGTCAGGAAAATTGTCAAACTCTCTTTGCCCTAAATGTGAATGAGGTGATAACGAGGCTTTCAAAATTCCTTATTGTCATGCTAATCTGGTAGAGGGGAAGTCAGAGATTAAAAAAAAATAACGAAACCATATCTGGACATTTCCTTTTTCTTTCTCTCTCTCTCAGGTAGGGTTTCTATTTGCAATGAACAATGAAACGTCTCTATAACCTTGTTTGCATTTCTGTGCAAAAGATCTGTCCGCTGGGTTCAGTTATTTTGTTAAAGCTCAGTGTGCTTTGTGAATGAAATCTCTGGGTATAGTAGACCTCCTCTTTTTCGTCAGTGCCAATATCAGCAGCTTAATGAGATTGCCATTGTTGCTTTAAAAACTTTCCATCTCTCGCTGACTAGGAAAACCAGTAAGGTGGTGAATCCCCATGTGGTGCCCACCTGGATTGTACAACAAATAGGGGAACTTGTAGCTACTGCTAAAGTTAATTCCCCCATCCCCCCCAAAAAACTCATTCTTTCCTGAATTTTATGTCCTACTAAAATGAGGCATTTCCGTCTCTTTCTCCTTCTTTCTCTTCCTCCCTCTCCCTCTCTGCTGTCTCTCTAGTATCCAACAAACACCATTTTGTAGACAGCAATTTGCTGTACCAGTTCCGAATGAATTTCCGCCGCAGAAGGAGGTTGATGGAGCTGCTCACTGAAAAGTCTCGCTTGATACCAGAGAGTCATGACAGCCCATTTTGCCTACGCAAGCAAAATCATGACAACAAAAAACATACCAGTTTCCTCTCAGGTATATATATATATATATAATATAGAGCTAAAGACTTCCATTGTCTCCCTAAGGGTTATACTCAATTATACAGACAGAACATCATTAGAGATGGGAATTCCTTAACTGTTGAAAGATGTTTTATTTTCATAGCATGGGCTTTTTGTCTGTCCTGTGGCTTGCTTTGTTTTGTCATTGGTCACTGAGAAAGAAACATGGGCTTCATCTGCATTCAGGCATGAGTAGCAGAAGGAATCATGTCATGAGAATATTAAAGTGCTTTCAGCTTTTAGAACTTTAAGGAAATGCAATTGTCTAGTTTTGACTCTATTGGTGTTTGTGTACGGGTTGTGTAACTTTCCCCATCTAACTGCGGCTAACTGAGGAAATGCCAAAGCATGTCTTGGTCACTTGTCTAGTCATCAGTCAGGTTGCACCACCAAGACGTGTCCTGGCAGCTTGTCAATTAGCCACAATTAGCTGCAGTGAAGTTATGCAGACCTTGCATGAACACTATTAGGATTCTGGCTCCTGAGTCTCTGGGCATATGGAAGTCCTTGTGAGGATAGTTATAGTTACATAATCCAGTGGGATCTCTTAAGAAGATTTGCTTGATAGGTGAAAATTGGTGATGAATTGTTGAAAAGACAGAACTTGAGAAAGTTACTTTTTAAACCACAACTCCTAGAATTGCTTCCCTTCCTTTAAAATGGGGAAAGTTGCAATAGAGTCAAGAATAATTTTCCTTTTTTATGTGTATTTCCCCCCTCCTCCCCCGGTTTGCTGTGGACAGTGAGCCCCACCAAGGAGATAAAAATCATCTCGGCGGTCAGACGGAGTAGCATGAGCAGCTGTGGGAGCAGTGGATACTTTAGCAGCAGTCCGACACTCAGCAGCAGCCCCCCAGTACTGAGTAACCCCAAATCGGGTAAGATCGGTACAAGATCAGTGATTTGTTTGTGTAGGATTTATTCTGCTGACGTTCCTTCTTTTTCCCTGTTGTATTCCCCTCCCCCTGTCACGTGTTTATATTGAAAAACAGAACATATAAGACATATTCTTTAAATTATGTCTCTAAAGCAGTGCGGACAAAGCTGTTAATCATTCAGATCTGCGTGCTAAAAATCGGAGACCCCCATGTCACCTCAGTGTTGCAGAATTGTACCCGTTCAGAGTGAACAGAGGGAATTGAATATTTGCATTGAATCCTCATGTTTATAAATGTGTTAATATCCCAATGCAAACAGAAGATGTTATCCCTTTGTTTATAAAGTGTGAGGTGGTTTAATTTGGCAACAAATACATTGCATTAGAGTGTTGATTGCTTCTCAGTGACCATTCAAATGGCTGTTGGAGCCACTGTCTTTTCCTAGTCTGGATCAGGAGAAAGGAGACATTTGTCCTATGCTTATTGTAATGCAAACTTGACCATCTCAGACATTCTAAATCAATAGTTGTTCTACTTCATAATCTGCAGGGCTTCCACATTTTACAGGGGAGTTTTCCAGTCCAAATATGTGGCCAAGAACACATCCAGCACCTTGTTAATGAATTGTTTAAGTCTTTCTACTTATACAATTCTCATTACACAAATATGAATTAGCAATAGGGTTCTGGTCACTTTGTGACTCTTCAAGCATAATTTGCATCCTAGTTGTGGAGGGGTGACAACATAACCTCGGGCAGCAAAATATTCCGGGCCATTCCTAGTGCTGAAACTTTGAAGGTGATAAACTAAAGTAGCCCCCAAATACTGAAACAACAGGTGGTGGGTGTAGCTTGAAAAAAATGTTCAGGTTCTGCCTGCTTACCATCAGTTCACAGATAGCCACGTTTTCATTAGGAGCAGAAGGTGTATCAGTCTTCACAATTGGCGGGAGCATGGTAGCTGCTGTTCATGTTGATGTCAGAACATTTGTGATATGGAAGGAGGCAGTCCTGTGGAGGCCACAGCACATAGACTTCAACATGTGTTGACTTTGAGCATGGTCTTCAGACAGAGCTGGGGTATACTTTTTTTTTTCCTCAGACACAATGGCCACCCATGCTGTCTGAGGGACTGCAGGAGATGCAGTCCAAAAAAGCAACGTTCCCAACCTGTGCCCTCAGATCACCAATCCAATGTGACTGGAATGTGGCAGACTGTTAGTCCGTGCAAGATGAAGTACAGTGGTGCCTCACAAGACGAACGCCTTGCGGGACGAAAAACCCGCAAGATGAATGTTTTTTGCAATCGCTGTGGTGCCTCGTAAGACAACTTCTTCCATGGCCATGCTTCGCAAGACGATTTTGTCCCCCCAAGACCGATGCCTCGCAAGACGAAAATAATTCATTCGTCTTGCAAGGTTCCCAAAAGAATGCATTGCAATGCATTCCTATGGGAAACCGCTTTTCTCAAGACAAAATTTCACAAGGCAGCGCTACTCGCGGAACGAATTACTTTCATCTTGCGAGGCACCACTGTATACTCAGTTTGTTGGTGCAGAAACACTTGTGTGTGTGTCCTCAGTGGCTCTTCAGTCGCATTCACAGCTTCACTGGTAGCGAGAATCAATCTTGAATCAGCTTGATACATACACATAGCTGGCATCATTTTTGTACAGCTTAATTCATTTGGTATCTGAGGCTGCTCTGCTTCTCCATTATTAGGATGAAACAGCAGGAATAGCTATGGTGCAAATTTAAAGACATTTGATTTATTTTCAGCGCTAATGGAACATGGCGGCAGATGAAAGTGATAATGCCACACATTAGAGGGATTATAGAGTGCATTCGTTCATAACAACAAGCCCCTCTTTAATGTGATGAAAGCTGTCCATGTTCAATCTTCTTTTCTTTCTAACTGATTTCCTGTGTGTCCCAAATGATGAAAGATTGCCCATGTGTGCTCCTCTTCCTGAAATTAAAAGGAGGAAATTAAATAGTAAATTGAAGCAAATAGTACACACATACTATTTGCTTCAAAGGCAGATTGAATATCAAAGAGTGCCTCATTTCTTACATCAATCTGTGGTTTTGAATTAAGAATGTATTCTGAAGGTGACTTCAAGAGCCCCACGAAAAAATTAACAGGAAGGCATCCGGAAGACCTTTCTGGCCCTTCCTTCAATGGAGTTTTCACAGTGTAATGGCGGTGTAATTGGTTACTTGCTCATTGCATGGGATCCAAAGTGTATTCCTTATTACTGCTTTTCTACTGTTGACATATTACACATCATTACTTATTTATTTGATGTATGTCCTACATCGCTCCCCAAACAGGGATTTAAACCTTTTTAGAAAATATTTTTTTAAATTAAACAGGCACAAATAAAAATATAATAGGTTATAATATTCAAACACAAGCAAATTATCATATTAAAGCACAATTGAATATAAAGCAATATTGAAACTGATTAAAAAGTTTAGCAACAACCGGTTAAATGGTGGAGACCCCCTCCTCTCTTTCCCCAATGCCTGTACCATTTGGGAACCTTATTTCGTTATTTTATTTTACTTATTAGGAACTGCAGACTTCCCTGTTATACATTAAGCGTGAATGGGGAGGTGCTCCACAGGAACATGTAGCTTTTCTAAAAAGCACTAACAAAAACAAAGCAAAAGAAAAGAAAAGAAAAATCAACAACCCTCTCCCTTCCTCCACTATGGAAGTCCTGCTACATATATTTGGGAGATAAGGCCAGCATAATTAACATTGCAGTGTTGGCCAGTAATCCTACCCAATAAACATGTTGACTTCTGTTTTGTACTGGAAGTGAAGATCTGACGTATTTAACTGGGGTGAGGGGAGAGCAGGTTACCAAAAGGGTGTGACCATGATAAGAGTTATTTCTTTAAATACAGACACAATAATATTATTCTGTTACTGAGCTATGATTTCATTTAAGTCTTGTTTTTTTATTTTTGTATTTTGCAAATTTTTGCATTCGATATATGGTTTAACAAAATTAAAAATAAAAAATTTAAAAAGCAGTGTCTTATTTATATTTTAATATTGTTAAAAATAGCTATCAAACATGCAAGTACTAATTATAAGATCATTTTTTAAAAGAATGGGTTAGAAAATGGTGCGTATTTCTAAGGTTGGCAAAAGTGTGACCTGAGATATGGTAGGTTCACCTGTCAATATGTTTCTGCTGTACTCAAAAACATGTCTCTTAAAATAAATTGGCATAGTACTAAGAGCATTGTTACGTCATTCTAAAAACGTCAGACTTTCTGCAGTAAGAAAAACATGGGGAAGTATTGGGAAAACACGGGGGGGGGGAATATAAATCTAAACCTTCTGTAGATGAGGATGAACACTAAGGCTGACCCAGCTATCAAGAGCTGAGGCAGTTGTTTTAGGAAATAGACAAAGCAATAACTAGATGTTTGGGCACCTAAGACTTCACTGCCCTGTTGGTTAAGCTTGGATCACAGGAGACTGGCATATGCAGGGAGAGGATGATGGGATGTCTGGATTATGAGAGTCATATTGAATATGTGCTGAGCTGGCTTGTTTTTCCTTCTGCTGGAGAAAAGCAGTTGGAGGCAGTATGTGCTTTTGGGGGGCAGGGTGATTCATGCCATTCCAGCAGTAAATGCCAATGGGTTGGTTCATGCTCTCACAGAGGCACATTTTTGCATACTCCAAATTTTGGCACCCTAGGTCAAAGCCCCAGCTGCACCACCCCAGTTACAGCCCCGCCAGTAGATGCTGGGAGATAGCAGCCAGATGTCATCACAGAACACTCTGTACTCTGTGCTCTCCAAGCTAGCTCTTGCTTTCATATATTGTGGAGGTTCCTGTTTCATCTCCATTCTTGAGGAAGGATTAAACGTCACCAGAGCACAGACAAGAGTTCCTACTCCAGTCCTCTGAAGATGCCGGCCACAGAGACCAGCGAAACGTGAGGAAGAATAACACGGCCAAAGAGCCCGAAAAACCCACAGCAACCATCAGATCCCGGCCGTGAAAGACTTTGAGAATACAAGGATTAAACTGCTAATGCAATTGATTTTTCTCTGATGAATGGGAGCAGGTACCCCTCTTATTTAATCTCAGGCCACAAGATACCTTTGTGAACATGACCTAGTGATTCTGGCCCATGGGGTCACGAAGAGTCGGCCATGATTTAATGACTAAACAACAACAAATGGAAAGCAGGCCTAACCTTCAGGAAAGGGCTCCCATTAACTATCTTCTCTTTGCCTTTACAGTATTAAAGAGACCGGTGACTCCTGAGGAACTTCTAATGCCTGGAGCTCCCTATGCCAGAAAAACCTTCACAGTAAGTCTCCAGTTCACAAATTTATCTTTTGCTGTTCATTATATTTGGGTGATTTGTTCACATGCATATACTTTATTTATTTATAGTCACTTAAGACCACTCTAGGCGGCTACTTCTGTAGTGGCATAATCTATGTCTTATTTCTGTTGCTTGAGAGATACGTGTGAACAGTTCAGTCAAAGGACATAACAGTGACATCATGTGAAGGAGGTGCACGTTTTATTTTCATGAAATGGCACAGAAATAAAGAAATTTTATAAGCATCATCAAGTGGGCTAGTCTTTAAAGCTGACTAGCGTAGGCTGGAAGGAGATGATAAGGTTAGTGATAGGAATAAGGAAATTCTTAAAAAATGCGAACATCTGAATGAGCTTCTCTCATACTTGCTGTGCCTGATGATTAGTCTTCAGGACTTAAAAAGGATATTTCTATGGATCCAGATTTTGGAAACATGGGCAGATTCCTTTAGTCAACTTTCTACAATATTTCCATGCTTTCACCACTGATTAAGGGCTGATAGTAGTAGGCATTCTTCAGTCTCAAGGGACTATGGTAATGTGCTCTGAATAGGGGTCTTGGAACAGCCTCTAGTGTGGCTGAGAAGGCCAATTCAACACATTGAGGACAAATACAAGCTGTCCCCTGTCCAGCTCCCTGATTTTGCTGCTTCCAGGACTGCCTCTTTGCCTCGGCCTGCTGGACAAGGGTCTCTTCAAATTGGAAGAGGCCGTGATGTACCGCCTGCCTTCAGGCTGGATGCTCCAATTGGAAGAGGCCGTGATGTACCGCCTGCTTTCAGGCTGGACGCTCCGATGTCAGGGTTTCCCATCTGTTGAGGTCCATTCCTAAGGCCTTCAGATCCTGCTTGCAGATATCCTTGTATCGCAGCTGTGATCTCCCTCTGGGGCGATTTCGCTGCACTATTTCTCCATACAGGAGATCTTTTGTAATCCGACCATCAGCCATTTTCACAACATGCCCAAGCCAATGTAGACATCACTGTTTCAGTAATGTTTACATGCTAGCAATTCCAGGTCATTTCAGGACTACACTTTTTGGAACTTTGTCCTGCCAGGTGATGCCAAAAATGCATCAGAGACAACGCATATGGAACATGTTCAACCTCCTCTCCTGCTGTACACAAAGGGTCTAGGACTCACTGCAGTACAGGAATGTACTCAGGACACAAGCTCTATAGACCTGTATCTTGTTATATGCCATCAGATTAAGGGCTAGCAACCAGCAGTGGTCATGTAATTTGTTCATATGTACGTACTTCTGTCACTCTAACATCGGTTTTTGGCTTTAATCAATGGCCAAATTGTGACAACAACATCACAGAAATATCTGAAGTTCTCTCACTTTCATCTCTTGTCCAAGGAGAATCCAAACTCTGGTAGCGTTACCCCAGAAGCTCTTTGCCCCTCCAGAAAGTGGGAAGCATCTCATATGTACAATGGGGAGAACCGGTGTGGCCAGGCTGGCTGGGGGAATCTTGAGAGTTGTAGTCCAAAAAAGTAACTTTTCCAGCTCTGGAAAACATCTGCAACAACAACGACAAAAGAATTGCTAAAAGGAATCATAATGGCATATTCTCCTCCCCTTTCAAGATTGTAGGTGATGCTGTTGGATGGGGATTTGTGGTGCGTGGGAATAAACCTTGCCACGTCCAAGCCGTAGATCCCAGTGGACCTGCAGCAGCAGCAGGAATGAAGGTAATATTAATTATGTCAGGTAAAGTACTTTAAAAGATGAAAAGAAACCCTGTGTTGATCATGTTTTCAGGAGTGCATGAGGTGTGACATAGAAAGCAGTTTCACATAGGCAGTGGTGCACAATCTCTGTGAAGATTGTCACATACAGATTGTAGAATGATCATACGGTATTGTTCACCTACAACTGCCAGAATCTTCTGGAACCTGTAGATCAAAAAACATAACTTTTCCAAGCCTTCTTTACAAGTGATGGCCATGTACATATGTGAACATTTCAGGTAGTGGCCAAAATCCTGTTGTGAAAGTTACACCTGACAAAGGGTGATCATGTCTCTGGCTGTGGGTCTTTTTGGTAATCAGAGTGTTCCTACATCTGTCCTGTGGCTTCTCGGACTCACACGTAATCCATCTCAATGTACGTGAGCCCTGGGAAGGAAGGAGGAACTCTTCAATGGCCAAAAATCTGCCCTTGTGGATAATGTCATCACTTCTGTTTGACCACCAGCTGAACACTATTTCCTGGCAGGTGTGCTTTTGTGGCAGGGGTTTCCCTCGCAATGTGAAGCAGCCCCTCAGTCATCTTGAAGGGTATCTCTTCTGATGTGAATATTCTTTTATTACATGTCATCAAGTCCATTCAGACTTATGGCAACCCTTTCTAAGATTTTTTTTAGGCCCATATTACATGTCATCAAGTCCATTCAGACTTGTTTTTAGGCCCAGTATATTCAGAACTGGTTTACCATTGCCTTCTGCTGAAGACACTCCGGGACTGTGTAACTTGCCCAAGCCTACCAAGGCTAGCTCTTCTCCTACAAGGCACAGGGGCAGATTCAACCTCCAAAGGTCCGGTTCCTCAGCCATATGCTCACTGAAATATTCAGCCTTTAGAAGCATAACAAGGGCTTTCAAACAAGCCGGCAATGCAGAAGGCCCTGCCCTTCTCTAAGAAACTTGGCATGCCAGAACTGCTTAGAACATCCCACCTAAGAGATGGAGAGACAGAAAACATGGCTGGGATGAAAAGGGCAAGAATTTGAAGAACAGCCAAGGTTCAATGTTTCTTTTTTTCTAGAAGAATCCTTGGCAAATGGAGACAGGCTTTTTAAAATTCTCAGCTGGGGTACACCCAGCAGCCTACATATTTCTGGATGTTTGCCTTACTCTGCATTTTTCGTTTAGGGAGCTCAAAAGCCCCCATTGTCTCCACACGCGTGCCACGCACACCCGCATGGTCTAGGCTGTCTCTCCTTTGCACCATGCCTCACCAACTCCAAGGGCAAGACTTTTGCCCTCCCATTCAGAATGGGTGCTTGAAGGCTTCTTGTTCTCTCAAGCTGTAAAAAAGAAGACATCTTACAAAGCCAGCACTGTGCACACACCATTTTGTAGGGCAGTTGAGAGACATGCCCCAAAGCCATCAATCTTGGGAGTCTGGAGAGAGGCCAAAAGCCAATCCTTGGTCATAAAAGGGAAAATAACCAGACCTGCACTCAGCGTTTAATTTCTAGAAAAACAGGTGGTGGGGTGAATATTTGCCAGGAATCCTTTCCCTTTAGTTTCTGGTGAATGACTACAGATCCTCTGTCATTGCTTAATGGTGAGCGAAGTGTGGGTTCAGGTGAGTTCTCGTCTATTCTTACTTCAAGCATTTCCCTTTCCCTTTAGTTTCTGGTGAATGACTACGGATCCTAGTGTGTTCTCACTGCTGATAACTAAGGGGAGGATTTCTATGACGTGTTCTCTCTTTTTTTCTGCAGCCTTTGTTGGAATTTGTAAGTGGCTTTGGACATTGTTTATGAGTAATCTGGTGAAGAAGGCACAAGTTTAAACTTGCTTGTGGGTTCAAGTGTAGGTTGCAGAGAAAGTGTGAAGCATCATAGAAATCCTTTCCCTAACAGATATGGAGCATCTGACTCAAGACATTTTGGCACCTAATAGAGGGAGAAGAGATATCCTATCCCCAGTCAAAGTACAGAAGACTACTGGAGTAGCATCAGTATCTTACTTGAACACCAAGGATGGGATTGGGCACACTTGATTATGCAAGCTACAGTTGTGTGGAAATATAGGTCTGCCCTCCAGCGGTGACAAAAGCTAGTTTTCTAGCATCTACCACCTAGGGAGATGCTTCACTTTTACCTAATGGGTGGGCCAGCACTGCTGGAGCCCTAGAGATCACAAATTAAGCTCCATATTGATTATCTGCTGTGCTGAGTTTGGCCTTTCTCCTTTGCCTTTTCATGCTAGTGATGGGCTTTGTTATCAGGAGAGGTGAAAAAATGGAGGAGAGAGGGAACATCTGCTACTGATCCTCCTATGGGTCTGATTCTTCTGTTATCAGGAGAGGTGAAAAAATGGAGGAGAGAGGGAACATCTGCTACTGATCCTCGCGTGGGTCTGATTGCAGTGAGAAGTTCAAGGGTGAAAGCTGGAGGAAAGGGGCTCAGGTCTAGAAAGGTACATTGACTGATCCAGAGCTTAGAGAAAAAAATATTTTTACCTACAGATCCCATTTCCGGGAATTCTGATTTACAAATCCTATTCAGGAGATTTCTCAAAACTTGAGATTAAAAAAGGTAACTTCTCCAAGATCTCAGTTGCCTTTCTGGCAAGTTCTGCATAACTCTCTGAGAGGCAGAAGGACAAACTTTCTTTGTACCCTTCACCTGACAGGGCTGGGCTTTGTTATCTCATGACTGAAACTGAAGTGGTACAAATATTGACACAGTGATAACATTGTGCTTGATGCCAACACCTGCAGCTCCATCCTACATGTACTCATTGCACAGACATAGACACAGTAAGGCCTTATTGCCTGTTTCCATCCTGAACGCTGTGAAACTGCTTGCTTAGGGCTTTGTTTTCTTCTAATCTTAATGTGCTGTTAAGTATGACACACAATGAAAAACTGAACCAGCCCCTAGTTTGCAAAAGCAAAATTTCCAGAGAAGGCGGGCATACATCTCCTCCCTTTTTGTGGTCTGGGATATTTAACAAACACTAGGTCTTCCTTAATATTAAGATGGTTTTCCTAGATTCCTCCCCTACCTTGAAATAATATGCTGCTGAGACTCATAAAGGAAAGCATGTCCCACTGACCCTCCTATAAAAATGTGCTATTAAGATGGTTTTCCTAGATTCCTCCCCGACCTTGAAATAATATGCCGCTGAGACTCATCAAGGAAAGCATGTTCCACTGACCCTCCTATAAAAATGTGTATCACCTTCAGTCGAAGATTTCAAAGGAGTCCAAGGACTTCAGGGACCTTTATGTGGTAGATGAGAAGAATGTTTTTCTGACGGACAATCAGTTGAACCAACACCTAAGTCAGCACTTGGGTATTGATGTAATGAATGATTTGCAGCAGTTTGTACAGTGACTTTTGTCTCTATTACTCCCCGAGGCTCGTGTACTAGAGGCTGTGACGTTACTGCTCACCCTCAGGAGGCATTATTATCAAGAGTATGAGGCTGAAAAAAGAAGTCATGGTGGCAAAGTTCCACTCTTTGGCCTTCATCCAAGATAAGCAGAATGTACTGCATCAAGCATCGTATTTCTATGATAAGACTGATCTGTTTTCTGTGTTGAGATTGAACTCTTGGGTGGTACTGGATGAGTTCTATGAATCTGTGCTGCGGTCAGCAAAGGGCGAATGAAAAGATTCCCGTCCAGTAAATGGGAAGTGAAAGAATTGTTAATCAATGTAGGCCTCCAGAAGGTTATCTCTGAGGATGATTGTTTGAAAAGTGCTACCCAAGTTGAAAGAGAAGCACTGAGAGATGGTGCCACATCTGGTGATCTCTCTAAAAGAAAAAAAAAATGAACTTTGGAAACACCTCATTTCCATATCAAATGAAACCTTTTCTGGAAAAAAAATGTCCAAGGTCTGTTTGTGGCTCCTTCATCCACCTTATATCCCACATGACACCTTTGTTGCACCTCAAGGTTCTCTGTTTGCTGAATTATCCTGGACCACAGCAGTTACTCTGCCTTCCATTGTATCTGCTGGAGAAGTTACTTTGCCTTTTGTTGTATTTGCCGGAGAAGTGAAAAAAGACATTCTCAAACAACTTGGAGTGTTGTGCACCTTGCCAGCCCGGTTGGTCTTGAAAAAACAATGTGTGCCAGGTGTCATATGCTACGTTGAGTACCAGACAAAATCAGAAGCTGGCCCTAACATCAATATATGGGTTCTTGTCAGAACAGAAAAGAATAGAAACTGCCTAAAAGTTCTCCCTGTAATTCTAGTGGAAATTGATGAGAGGCCCAAATTGTGGTGGTCTCCTTAAAATGTCCAGATGACTTCCTGTAGAGGTATCTCTACAAGCTGCCCCCAAAGATGGCTGCCTGTCTGTATCTCCTGGAGAAATTGGGTGTTTCAAAATGAGCCAAACATCGATCACTATGCCAGCAAAAGATTCATGATGAGACAGCAGAGCATATGAACCTTCATGCCAACCTCGCTAAAGCAGTGCTTAGAGCCACTCAGTTCCTCTTCTAGCTCCTAGACAAATCAAAGGATTTGTCTAGGAGTCTTGCACTGATGGGAAGCTGTACCCATCTAACACCCTGATATTTAGTTTGTGCACATCTCACACACACACACAAAAATCCCAGGCCTTGCAGAGCACTTTCCACTTTATGGTGGATCTTTCAACCTGCCACTTACTTTGTTACCGGTATCAGCAGTTGAGCTTCTGCACCTACTGGCTGGGGCTCCTTGGCCTCAGAGCTTGTCTGACATCATTGTGGAGGAACTGGAGGGGTCCTGCCTGAAACCAATCCCCAGTGGGGAACACTTCAAGTTCCAAAATGGCCTCAAAGAGCTACTCCATTCTCCTGAGTTCCAATGGGCCCTGGATGCAGAACAAAGCAAGTGGAAATGGAGAAAGAGGAATGCATCTGTGATGGTCTCTTCTCACCAGAGCAGCTAGACATGGTTCATTATGAACAGGTGTGTAAGCATAATGGTGCACAGCTTGCAAGTTTTGGAGGG